CCACCGCTCTGTATATATTATCTTGAATAGCAATCCTGATGACTCACAAGCGACTTGCCAACTACAGATTTGCGCCACGGACTCAACTACCGCTATAATCATCCGGCGACATCCAGTCTGGTGACGGACTTCTACCTTTTTACGGGATCACATTCGTTCTTGTAACAAGTTAGTGGCGCCCCCCTCCAGTCCGCCCGTCTGCGGCCGCCTGGCTCGGCGGGCAACATTGTTCACCTCGCCCAATAAACGCCGTAGAGCGCACGCCGCTCCGGCCAGACATCGTCCACCCTCACAACCAGGCTGCGTGTCGTCTCTCCTCGGCGGGTGCTTCGGCCCCCTTCGTCCACGTTCGAGAAAGATCGTGACACTGGCGACGAGGAACCGTGGCACTGGACGCCACCAACGTGCACGGTTCGGCCCACGCCGCCGAGAGAGTCGCAACACCGCCCCCCGCTCCTGTCGACATGCCGCTGTACGGGAGGCTCGAGCCGTTCGAGGGAGATGGGTCCGCCTGGCCAGTGTACGAAGAACAGGTCCACGTGTTCTTCCGGGCGAACGACACGCCGGAGGCGAAACAACGGGACATCTTCCTGGCCAGCTGCGGGACCCGCGTGTTCAGCCTCCTGCTCGACCTCCTCAAGCCGGCCACGCCGCACGTCAAAACGCTGGGTGAGCTGCTCGCCACGCTGCGCTCGCACTTCAGCCCGGCGCCGTCCACGCTGATGGAGCGGTTCCGCTTCAACAACCGGAGCCGCCAGGACGGGGAGACCCTCGGGCAGTTCGTCGCTGCGCTACGGGGGTTAGCGAGCACCTGCGCCTTCGGCGACCAGTTGGACTCGCTACTCCGGGACCGGTTCGTCTGCGGCATCAACCACCCCGCCATGCAGACGCGACTCCTGGAGCTCCCCGACCCCTCGCTGGACGACGCGGTGAAGGCAGCGCTGGCGATGGAAGCAGCAGCGAAGGACGCCAGCGAAATAGCGCGTGCGGCCGGCTCACCGTCGACGGAAGCGGCGGTGAACAAGATGGCGGCAAGGAGCGGTGCCTGCAGCCGCTGCGGTGCTGCCCACTCCCCCTCACAGTGCCAGTTCGTCCAAGCACAATGCTTTACGTGCGGGAGAACTGGGCACCTCGCACGTGTCTGCCGAGGGGGGAGGACGAGTGGCGGCCAGCAGCAGCGGCGGCAGCCTGGTTCAAGCCCGGGTTCCAGCCAAGCCCGCGGCCAGGGTAGCCGTCGCAAGAGAACGCGGCGGGGACGAGCGGCACCAGGCCCGGGTCCGTCTTCAGCCAGGGTCCACGTCGTGGCCGAGGACCCGCAGATTTTCGACGTGTAGCAGACGAGTAAGCCTCCAAGTAAGGTGTCGAAGGACACCTTACTTGGTGTCCGTCGAAATCTGCGGCCACCCCATCACCATGGAGCTGGACACAGGGGCCAGCGTGTCGGTCATGCCCGGGAAGCTGTTCAAGCGGACCTTCCCCGGCGTGTCCATCGAGGCGTCGGACGTCATGCTGCGCAGCTACTCCGGGCAGCTTCCCCAGGTCCAGGGTCGGGCCCAAGTCAGCGTTCGCCTTGGCGACAGGGAGGCAATCCTTCCCCTTTACTTAACCAAGGGGTCGTCGCCGACGCTGCTGGGCCGGAACTGGATTCACTCCCTGGGTGTTCGGCTACCGGAGTACCAAGAAGCTGCGCTGCACGTGGTGAAGGACGTCCCGAGCCTCCTGACCGACTTCCAGTCCCTGTTCCAGCCAGGGGTGGGCACCTTCGCCGGCACGACGGTCGGCATCTATGTACCCGAGGGAACCCGGCCTCGGTTCTTCAAGCCGCGCCCGCTGCCGTTCGCCCTGAAGGACGGGGTCACCCAGGAGCTGCAACGGCTGCAGCGAGGGAATCCTGGTGCCCGTCAAGTCTTCCGAGTGGGCCGCACCGATTGTGCCAGTCCTCAAGCAAGACGGCCGCGTAAGGATCTGCGGGGACTTCAAGGTCACCATCAACCCCGTCGCTACCGTCGAAAAGTACCCGCTGCCTCGGGTAGAAAATCTCTGGTCGGCTCTGTCCGGGGGACAGAAGTTCACCAAGCTCGACCTTCGAGATGCCTACCAGCAGCTGGTGCTCCAGCATGCCGCCTGGAAGTATGTCACCATTTCGACTACCATGGGACTCTTCCAGTACACGCGCCTACCGTTCGGCGTGGCCTCGGCCCCAGCCATCTTCCAGAGAGAGATGGACAACCTCTTCAGGGGCATGAGGCACGTGGCGGTGTACTTGGACGACATCCTGGTTACCGGTACCGACGACGGGGACCACCTGCAGAACCTGCGCAAAGTCCTGACACGACTACAGGACGCCGGTCTCAAGCTGAGGCTGGACAAGTGCGTGTTCCTGACCCCCAGCGTGGAGTACCTGGGACACATCATCTCCCAGGCTGGCCTGGCCCCGGCACCCCGCAAGATTGAGGCCGTGCTCAAGGCGCCGAAGCCCAAGAGCAAGAAGGAGCTTCAGAGCTACCTCGGCCTCATCAACTTCTACAGGAGGTTCCTGCCCAACCTTTCGACGCATCTGGAGCCGCTGCATCGACTGCTTCGTGACGGTCAGCAGTGGGCCTGGAAGAAGGAGCAGGACTTGACCTTCCAACACAGCAAGGAGCTGGTCGTTAAGGCTCCAGTGCTGGTGCACTTCGACCCGGCCAAGCCTGTAGTCCTCACCGTGGATGCGTCGCCGTACGGGGTAGGAGCCGTCCTGTCGCACCGGGGTCAGGATGGTCAGGAACGCCCTGTGGCGTTTGCTTCTCGTCGTCTTCATGCGGCGGAGCAACGCTACAGCCAGCTCGACAAGGAAGGCTTGGCCCTCATCTTCGGGGTCCAGCGCTTCCATCAGTACCTGTGGGGCCGGCAGTTCGAGGCAGTCACAGACCACAAGCCGCTGCTGGGGCTGCTGGGACCTGACAAGGCAGTCCCAGTGCAAGCATCGCCTCGTGTGGTACGCTGGGCCTTGACGCTGGCAGCCTACAGGTACAAGCTGGTCTACCGCCCTGGGAAGGACTTGGGACCTGCTGACGCCCTGAGCCGCCTGCCCCTGCCGGAGGTGCCTGCTGCCGTTCCGGAGCCAGCTGATGTGTTCCTGCTGGAGCGGGCCTACCCGGGGGTGCTTATCAGGACTGCGGTGGAGCAGGCGACCAGCCGGGACCCGGTCCTGTCTCAGGTGGTCAAGGCGGTTGCCCGAGGGGAGGAGCTGCGTCACCAGGCGTTCAGCCACAAGACCGCCGAGCTGAGCTTGGAGCAAGGCTGCCTCCTGTGGGGTTCCAGGGTGGTGATTCCACAAAGTCTGCGGGCCAAGGTGCTGCAGCTGCTGCACGCGGGGCATCCTGGCATTGAAAAGACCAAAATGGTGGCACGGTCGCACGTTTGGTGGCCTGGCTTGGACCAGGACATCGTGCACCAGCTGCAAGGCTGCCAGGTCTGCCAGGAGAACCAGCGAGCCTCGCGCCACGTGGAGATCACCCCCTGGCCGTTCCCACAGAGGCCGTGGTCCCGCTTGCATGTGGACTATGCGGGACCCTTCAAGGGCCACTACTTCCTGGTGGTAGTGGACGCCTTCTCCAAGTGGGTGGAGGCACTGCCAGTCTCCAGTCCCTCGGCAAGCGCGACCATTGCGGCGCTGCGGCAAGTCTTCGCGGCGCAGGGATTGCCGGATATTATTGTATCCGACAATGGTCCCGCTTTCGCTAGCGCCGAGTACCTCGACTGGCTGCAGAGGAATGGGATCCGCCGGATGCTGGTTCCGCCGTACCACCCCGCTTCCAATGGTGCAGCAGAGCGGGTGGTACAGACACTCAAGGACAGGCTCAAGAGGACCGAGCCCGGGGATTTCCGGACGCAGGTGGCCCGGGTACTGTTTCAGTACCGGACCACACCCCATGAGGTCACTGGCCGTGCCCCCTGCGAGCTTCTGCTGGGCCGGATGGTCAAGACCCCCCTGGACGTCTTGCACCCAGACCTCCGGTCCTCGGCGCTCCTGAAGCAGCTGAAGCAGAAGCTGGCTGCTGACCGAGGGTGCCGTCCCGGGCCTTTGCCGGAGCCGGGAGCGTCTGTGTACGCCAGGAACTTCCGTCCTGGCCCACCCTGGTCTGCCGGGCGTGTGGTTTCACCAGCGAGTGCCTCGTCGCTGCTCGTCCGCATGCCCGACGGGACCACCTGGCACCGGCACGCCGACCATGTCAGGCCTCGCCTCGGGACCTGGCTTCCACCCTCGGCCGTCGCTTCAGAGGACCAGCCCGCAGGGGGCCCAACAACAGCACCAGTCGCGGCCAGCGGAGCGCCACCCACCTTGGAGGCGACAAGCATCGCCACTCCCGTGGCACCAGTGCCACTCCGAAATCCGGTCCCTACAGCTCCACCGGGTGGAGCGCGACCGGTTCAGGCAGCGCCCGGCGTTGCGACACCTGGCCTGTTGACACCTGTACCCAGGCGGAGTGCACGGCAGCGGAGGCCACCTGACCGCTACTCGCCGGAGTGACCTTCATCGTCGACAGGCCGGGACTTTGCACGACCAGACGCCGAGATGGTGTCGGCCGTGCGCATTGTGTTTAGTTTTGTTTAATAACAAACAAACTGGGGGGGAGGAGTGTAACAAGTTAGTGGCGCCCCCCTCCAGTCCGCCCGTCTGCGGCCGCCTGGCTCGGCGGGCAACATTGTTCACCTCGCCCAATAAACGCCGTAGAGCGCACGCCGCTCCGGCCAGACATCGTCCACCCTCACAACCAGGCTGCGTGTCGTCTCTCCTCGGCGGGTGCTTCGGCCCCCTTCGTCCACGTTCGAGAAAGATCGTGACAGTTCTCAATATGCCAGGAACGACCCAGGTATCGCATCACTGAAGCTGACTCGTCTGTTACCCGCGCCTTCAAGGAACTGCGTGGCTCTCACCGGCAACAGTCAGCACAAACGAAGACGTCTGCCTCACCCAACTGCAGCAAGTATTCACACTTTTCGTTTGCCACTTTACCATGCCTGTGAAAGAGTGCATAGCATGCTCAAAACTGCTGCCTGATGATGGACAATTTCTAACCTGCGTAGGATGCTCTTTTCCGTACCACATGGGTACTCCTTGCTCAGGTGTGGCGGAATCTACGTTCCAGGTTATGGGAACAAAGAAGAGAGAAAAATGGCGCTGTCGGTCATATCGCGCGGAAGACTGACGGGAGTCATCGGCCCCTGTTAAGGTCTCTTCGCAGTTGGATACTGCGAACCTGTCAGCTCAGTTTGCTGAAGTGAACGAAAAGCTGGATCAACTTCTTTCACTTAAGGACAAAGTAGATAGTCTCCTTGGACTACCAGCTCAGGTCAATGACTTGTTGACCTTAAAAACAACATTCGAAGAAATGAAGGCCACTGTGAACGAGCTGAAGACCTCCGTGGAGTTCAACTCGGGCCAATATGACCACCTACTTCTCGAAATGACAAGTAAAAAGGAAATAAAAGACCTAAAAGCAGAGATGACTCAACTGAAAAATGTTGTGTCTGAGAACGCTGCATGCATCTCCCATCTACAGGTCGAGTTAAACGACGCTGAACAGTACAACCGCCTGGCTAATTTAGAAATCCATGGCATGCCGGTATCAACCAATGAAGACCTAAAAAAGTCCGTCTTCGACCTCGCAGACAAACTGTCAATCACATCTTTTCAACCTTCTGACATGGTGGCTGTCCACAGGCTCCCAAGCAAAAAGGATAAGATCCCCCCGATTTTGGTTCGATTTTCGTCATCAGCTGCACGAGAGATATGGATGAAGGCACGTGGCACTCTGCGCGAACTCGCACAAGCGAGAACTCTACCCCAGCTTTATTATAACGAGAATCTCACCCAGATCAACCGAAACCTGTTCTGGCAGGCTCGAACAGGGGGAAAGGAGAAAAGATTCAAGTATGTTTGGGTTCGAAATGGCAAGATCTTCGCCAAGCGGCAAGATGAGGCAACCACAGTGCGCATCAGTTGTGAACACGATCTTGAACTGATAAACTAAAAGGATATTGGATCTAGAGAGGACCGTCTGATTATGGACTGTGATGACTTTCATACTTTTGTTTCTTTTTCAGAAGTACAAAACTTTTTTACAAGTTTTAAATGTAATACTTTTCGTATTACCCATGTTAATATCTGAAGCATCCGGAAATACTGGGACCATTTTCTCGCATTAATCTCCCCTTTTTGCTCTTGTTTTGATGTTTTTGTACTGACCGAGATCAACATTTCTTCGGACAGTTTCACTAAGTATAAAATACCAGGCTATCATGTGTTCTCTTATACTCGTTCAATGTGAAGAGGAGGGGGTGTGGCTGTGTTTATAACAAATAGTTGGTCGGTGGCCGAGGTAAAATTTTCATTCCAACAGGCAAAAGTAGTTACGCTCCACTTAAGCACTCCTTTGTTATCCTGGTCCTTTTCTCAATCTATTGTCCCCCGTGCTGTAATGCACGGTTATTTCTGGCCGAATTTGATTTAGCTTTGTTCTTTCTTTCATCTGAACAGCTTGTATGTGTAAACGGCGGTACTAATATCGACGTACTTCGTCCCACAGTGACCATAGTCGCAGACTATCTTGATGTTTTGTCCAAATGGGGCCTAAAAGCAACAATTCAGAAGGGGCAAAACGGGAGGAATTTATCTCTCGCCAGTTGGTGGTATATCTAACATTGATCATATAAACGTACGAGCTCAGAACGCAGTAATCCAGTCTGCAATTATTGAAACTAAACTTGCTGATCATTATTTTGTCTGTTGTTCATTAACACAGTTATCTAAGCCGTTGACTTATGTTGGCACTGTGAGCGAGTTGTCAATAGTTGATCCCAGGCACTTCGATAAACTTGTGGAGCAACATGATTGTAATACTTTTCTTCTAACTACATCTCCAGCTGACGGTTATGAACAGTTTGTAGCTCAGTTTAACCTTTTTAAAAAGGCGGCTACACGCACTGTAAAAATTAAACATCGTAACATAGACCAGAAATGGATGTCTTCAGAAATATTGGCAGCCATCAAAGAAAAATATATTTTATGGGCACAGTGAAAACGCTCCCCCAGTAACACTATGCTACGATTGAAATGATTCGTCAGGCCAAACGCATGCACTTTAGAAATAAATTTAAGGATGCTCGTTCTGATATTAAAAAAACTTGGTCGCTCATCAACGATCTCCATGGTACGTACGAAGAAGTGCACTAAAAGCAATGATAGCTACATTCTTTCACAATTCTGTACTGATGGACAGAGTATTGCTAATGAATTTAACAATTTTTTCTCTCAAGTATCGGGTATTGCAGGGCAACACCCAGCTTCATGTACCTTAAACAAAAGTGGATCTTAGACTCGGCTCATCTTCCTCTTCTCTCTGAAGAAGGGCTTAGGTCAATCCTTTTAGCCTTAAAGGGATACTGAATCGAAACTTAAAATATACAGGAAACACCTAGAGATAAGTCAAGTGGAATCAGATTAACCTGTAATTGATAATCGCATAGTCATATTTCCAGCGGATGGCTGTTTTTTTTTCGTTCTAAATGCCTGGATTTCGGCGAGCGCTTCAAGATCAGCCGTCGAAGAGCGCGATGCATCTCGGGAGATCCGGCGCGGTCCTGACGTCATCATGCCTCGGAGGGCCAAGCGTACCGTAGTTACGAGTCTTGCCACTTGGTGGCGTCAGCGTGTTACAATCTCGCATAGTCGAAGTACCCGAGGGCTGTAGTAGCATATTGCGGAGCCGGCGGAGCGGCTTCGAGTGAAATGGTTGCCGACCAACGCGACGAGGGCGGTGGGTAGATGACATTAATAAGGACGAAGATGCCGCCAGGCCGCTACATTACCAGGCCATGATGGCCGAGAAGCGATTCTGCCTAGAGTCATATTCGTACAACCCGTCTGTCTTGTCTTCGTCGTCCGCAACAGGTAACAGAGCTAATTCACAAAACGATCTTACAGCAAAACCTCAGAAAAGTTCCGTATTCACGAAACGAAATTGTCGCAAGTTTTTCGCACGATGAGATCCTGCGACCACGCCTACGACAGCTACAAAGCTTTACGCACTTTTTATGATCAAATTTACATCACCGGTTACATCCCTCGCTTACGTCGTCGCAACGACCAACGTGCATTTTTATGTGCTCTCTGTGCGCGTCCCAACAAGAGAAAAGAAGAAAAAAAAAGTAATTGAAACTGAACGCCGCGGCGGAGACAAACGCTAGAACCAAGGATACCTGAAAAAGCTACAACGACAAGGACCCACCGACCAAGCGACCACTACAGACGCTAGGCTTAGCAAAACACTTCGACGATCCGGGGCAAGACCATCTGCACACGATTGGCTGGCTTGATGAATGGAATACGCCCTCGTGACCTCTGTGGACCCTCCTCTAATGAATAGTTTGAACCCTGACTTCTAATTTGGGGTAAGAAGGCCAGTCCTTCCCCTCGCCGTACCTAGCTTGTTTTCAGATGCAGCGGTGACGAACGATCTCGTCAAGGAGGGAAACTCTTCTCGATTCAATCTCCTTTTCTGTGTGTGTGTGTGTTATAGAGCTCAAATAAATGCCATATGAATTGACTTCGGAACTTGGGTACGTGCACTTTTGTTTAGATGTCCATTTTATTTCCACATGATACGCCAACATGTCGAGTTAGAAGAGTTTTTGGGAGCGCCTCAATGCCGGTCCAATCTTTCTCTGCCGAGCGTCTCGTCAGCATCGAGTTGCGATTGTCTAGAGGCCCAGCGGTTCATAAAATCGGTTGTAAAAGACCGTTCCCGAAGCGGTTGCCAAGAACGCAATGCCAGTGCGGTTCTGCTCCCAGTGTGAACAGGTATTTACGTGGATCTTGCTGACACTCTTTTACTTCAAACGTATCTTCCTGGACGTTGGCTCCCTCCCGCATCCCCGAAAAGCGCCGCAGGGATTTGTTTACATGCGCGCCGCTTTGCAGAGCCGTACTGGCCGTCGCCTTTCAGCAACGACGGTAGTTGTGTTGACTTCTTACCGATCGAGTTCGTTATTAGTTGCGGTCGACGAAGGCGGCTATCTCGTGATCAGGAAAGGTGGGCATGCGGGCCCGTTTAAACACACATTTCGTAGCGTGAATATTGCATCGCACGTACACAATCTCCAAACCACCCCAAAAAAGCGTTGCCGGAAAGACCACCCGATACTAAAACGAACGGTGGCCAACTCTGCTGTTGCTTTCTTTACCAAAGCGCCTCCTCGGTACTACGTTCAGGCCTAACTAATGCCTATGAGTGACCGTACTTCCCGTTGTGGCGCTGCTCTTACGGGCATGTTGTCGTCACGACATTCCATCGAAGCTTAATTCACAGACATCCACGAGGTGGTTTTTGGTTATCGTTTTATTCAGTTTAAGATTCGTTTTCTCGCGTTATCCTACGGAATATTGATATCGGTGAAGTCCTATTTTAACCCTCTTTATATTCAAGCAAAGAGATGGGCTCTAGAATTTGGTTTCCGTACCCCTTTAAGCCTAATAAATCTCTAGGTATCGACGGTATTTCAGTTAATGACTTGCGCAGAAACTTTGAAGGGATTAGGGCTGTTCTACTTTCGATTTTTAATCACATAATATCTAATGGTATCATTCCATTAGCAATGAAAACAGCTTTGGTGATTCCATTATTCAAGGGAGGCGCGCGAAATAACGTAGAACATTATCGACCTATTTCCATTCTGTCTTACTTTGCTAAAATCCTGGAAAAACATATGTGGATAACTATGAATATTGATTGATTGGGGGGTTTTGGCGCATCAGCAACTAAGGCTATATTGCGCCAAGCTTAGACTATTGCGATTCGGGTTTAAGAAGAGGAAAGAGCTATAGTAGCGAAATATATGATAAAACCATGAACATGAATGTGTATAAGTGTAAACAATATGACAATGAATTTAGGATAGAAAGTAAAATCACAGTCGGTGTAGAAGGCCGATATCTGTGAGGAAATTAAAAACACAACTATACGGAATGAGCGGTTCGTCACCTAGTAGTAGAGCAAGGTGTAGTGGAATGTGTTCTTTATAAAGCAGTGAGTAGTGTTTATACCGGCATTGGTCATACATAGGGCATTCAATGAGTATGTGCATAATACTTAGAGGTAGGTTGCAGTGCACACATTCAGGGGCATCCTCCCCGCTCAAGAGGTGTCCATGTGTAAGACGAGTATGACCGATTCGTAGCCAACACAGTACGACTTCATAAAAGCGCTCCCGATGTCGGGCTCTCTCCCATTCGCCTAGAAGAGGTTTGATGGCATGTAGTTTGTTGCCGGTTTCGCCGTTCCACTGCAGCTGCCACTTTGCTTTGATGCAACGTTTCAGAGAATTGTGGTAATCTTTGTAGGGTATTTGGTGTGTGTCAATTTCTCTATCATTAGCAGAACTGGCTGCACTATCAGCTGCTTCATTTCCAGGAATGCCAACATGGCTAGGAACCCAGCATAAGACTATGTCAAAATTTTTCGTTGCAGCCAGGATTATCTTGTACTTTAACTCGGAAACCAGTGGGTTTTTTACACGGTTCATTGATGCGACAGCCTTCAGAGAGCTTAAAGAGTCGGTGTAGATTACAGCGTGAGAAAGGCGTTTTTTGATTATGTAATCAACAGCTAACAACAAACCATAAAGCTCTGCTGTTAGTATAGAGGCTTTTGAATTTATTCTCTTCACCTGATTTACCGATGGTCCCACCATAACACAGCCTACTACGGAGTCTTTTTTGTCCCGTCTGTATAAAAACTGGCATACTTGTGATATTTGGTCTGAAGCTCAAAGAAGTTCTGCCTTATGACTTCCTGTGGAACATTCTTTTTGCTATACTTGGTCAGTGTAAGGTCGCAATGTATCTGGCAGTTGTTCCATGGAGATATATCCGGAGGGTATTGGACCAACTGAGGCTTTGCATCCATCCCAACGGATTGTGCTGCAGTATTATTCCTCATAGAAAAAGGGGGGACTGTGGAAGGTTTGTTTTCGA